CCTCCCCTTCCCTCCCCTTCCCTCCCCTAGGTCTCTCCACCCTGATCTCCACGGATCTGAGAGCGAACGCGGTGATTGCAACCGCGTAAGCCCCCTTCCTTACCTGGAGGCCGTGCCGAAGGCGGTGGCCAACGCCTGGCCCATGTTGGCCAGGAACCTAAAGGGCAGCTTCTTGGTGGCGAGGGTGTAGATGCAGGGCAGCAGGATGAAGCCGTGCACCAGCAGCCCGATGAGCACCGTCATGAAGTACATGCCCAGCTGGCCCACCAGCACCGAGAAGTCCTTCATTTCGAGGAGCTTGGAGGCCACGAGGAACAGCACGCCGATGGGTGACACCCAGATGACCCAGTTGGTGATGTTCATCATGGCGGTGCCGAGGCTCTCGAAGAAGTCGAGCAGCGGCTTGCCTTGCTTGCCCATCTTGCCGATGGCGATGCCCAGGACGATGGCGAAGGCGACCAGACCGAGAACGTTGGTGCCGTCCGTGAACTCGTTCTTCATCTCCCAGCCGTAAAGGTTCTTGATCTCTGCAACAGATTTGTTTGTGAGCAAACAGTCGAATGTCCAAAAAGGAATCCCATCTGGTCCACACAAGAAGCCCCTTTCCCTCTTTCCCCCTTTCTTCTCGACCACGTGCTCCGGAGGGAGAGAGAGAGGCAGAGTGAGAGACAGAGAAGCAATGTAGCAAACAGTCCTTTTTAAATCTCTGTGCAAATCTCTGGGTGCCGCATAACTATCCCTTCATCGTGCGCGTGCGCGCGCCTTTTGCATAATCCCCTCATTTCCGGAGCAGAGGACGCGGCGCGGCGCGACACACAGCCGAGGCAGGGGGAGGCGCTCGGCGGGGAGGGGGCGAGGTCCTTACTGGCTGCAGTGTGCGTCTCTTTGAAGCAGCACCAAACCCCCCCTCCTTCCCCCTCTTTTTATCTCCCCGGTACGCGTCACTTTGATGTACTGTAAAGTACAACTCGCCGCCGTGCGTCCAAACGACGCGGATCGGATCCCCCGGATCCCCCCCCTCCCCTCACCCCTCCTGACTGCTGTCCCGCCTCGTCCTCTGTCTCGTCGGAGGCGCGCAACTTTTTCCAGCCGCGCCGTACTGGTGCTGGTTGTAAAACTTGAGAAGCGCGTCGAAGCCCGGCGCGTTAGCAAGCCGAGGTAGGGGGTGGTCGAGGGGGTCGCAAGCGAGCGGGAAAACTTTGTAGCAGGGATGAGAACGCGAAGGGGGGGGGGGGCAGGCAAGGTGCGCGAGCGGCGTGGAAATACATCAAGGGGAGTAGAAGGGAGTTCGGCGACCGCGAGTAGGAACCCCGTGGAATCACTCTCCCAGCCCCCTGCGGGCAGCGGTGCTGGTGCTGCTCGCCGTGGCCGTGGCCTGGCGTCGCCCAGCAGGGGAGGTGCGTGTCGGGCCGGGCCGGGGACTGTAACAGCTACCATCAGCGATTTCCTCGATAGATTTCCCCACCAGCCCTCCCGCCACTGTGTTTCTACCCCCACGCCCTTGCCCCCCCCCCTTTCCCGTGAACACGGCGCGGTCAGCACGACGAGGATGAGAGCGCGTGTGTGAGAGAGGGGGAGAGAGAGGGGGAGAGAGAGAGAGATAGGGAGGGGGTGGAGGGAGGTACGAAAGGATTTGTTGCTGATGGGTGACCGG